TGGCGGTAGCTCCCGTCGGGGCTGTGCGGGGGCGCCGAGCTTGGGGCCCGCTGTGCGTTTCCGATAGTTCAGCGTTAAGCCCTGGGCAGCTCGCTGCTCCGACTTAAAAAGTGTTTCGGGGCTTTTCTTCCCTGTCCTGCTCATAACCGCCCGGAGAGGTAGAGAAAATTCTCAAAACTGGGGGGAGGAATAATTATTCTCAAAAACTTAGCCTTGCATCGAGTCTTGTGACTTGCAAGTACGTTTTATGTCGCATCTTACCTTGCTAGGTGATAAACAGATACATCACTCTTGCCATTAAAGACTCCATTGCTGAACGAAGTTAAATATGATTTGGTCTTCATTTCAAAATCTGAACGTGTGCGTTTAATTTTATTGGGAGGACTTGCATATCATGTTGACAGGAGGGTTGTCTGCAGAACAGCGATGATGGTGTATTGGTGTATACTTGCCAAATCTAGTAATGCCAGAGTATTCTGATAGTTGATAATTAGTTTTGTTCTTCCTCTAAAGTAGAATGCTTGTATCAAATGTATAACACCTAACAAACTTTAGTGGAGTTTTTCAGCTGCATTTTCTTCTAGAAGTCGCGTTACCGGTATGAATTTATTTGTAGCAGACAATATTTCAACCGCTATTTTGAAGAAACAATGTTTTTGTTTCTGTTTTTCCACTCTTGGCTTGTACTGCAGTTATGTAATTCTGTGTATGTTGAGCTTCAATTAAATTTACTTGCTCTGAGTTTTAACCTTTCCTTGAAAATGATTTTTGGACTGTTGAAGAATATAACTTTGCATTTCAGCTGTTTAAAACTTGGTGTTTAAAGTGAAAGTTCTGTAAAAAACTACAATTTTTTTTTTTAGCCTCTTCATTTTATACTCTAAATCAGAGCTACAGACTTGTGTGTTCATGCTGAAACCTGATAGCTGATTCAAACATCTCTGTATAGTTCATCTGAGGCTACTGCAGGGAAGAAACAAAGTTCTCATATTTCAGAGCAAGCTGTTTTTATGATGAGATGTCTCTGAAGTGACAACAGTGACTCAAGATGGGGAAAAAAAGGAAGTTAGGGAAGCTTTGAAGTTAGGTAGCTTATTATGGGCTACCTCTGACATTTTTCTAAATGTTTTTTTTTTTCTGAAGTAGGTGGTACTGCAGTCATAACTGTGTTTTGCCTGTTGCTTCCCAAAATCCTTTGAGCATGAAAATAATTCAGGTAGTAGGTGGAGTAGAAGAACGCGATTGAATAGGCTGTGACACTTAAACGTCTGTGGTGATGGTGAAGTACTCTCTGGTATGCATAAAGTTTTATAGTTGCTGGTATGTTGTGCAGTGTAATGACAACTCGATGCTAAGCGTAATTTGTTTGGTTCCCAAGTTAGTTCATACTGAGGTCTAATAGTTTATTCTGGTCTTAGTCCAACACGTGTGTGCTGTTTGTTCAGCAAGTATACTTACTCGCAGAATAATCAATTCCATGGAAAATGGCTGTAAAAAAAAATAAATCTTAAAATCAGTGGTTTATGTACATGTATTTCTGAGATATTGCCAGAACATAACATCCTTTTCAGCAAGCTTTTCTGTGCTGTTAAAATACTAATTTATCATTTTTATTATTCTAAAAGAAGGGGATTTGTTTTTTAGAGCTGTATATTTTCTTTGGCAGGGGACAGTGGAGGTAGATAAGTTTTTAGAGGAAGGCATTTTATATAGTGATAATGAACTTTTTCATAATGGAAGACCTTTTGGTACTGTATTCAGTGGCTTAATAACATCTCTGCGGATGACCAGAACTTTGAAAGACTGACCATGCACCATATAAAGCTATCATTATATAATCTAAATGCATCTGTTAACAGGTTTTCACACTGAATTCTTTACTACTAAACACGTGAAGATTATGTAATATTGCAGCAATGGACCTGCAAGCAGGGTATACTTATTAAAAAAATAGATATGATAAATAATATTTTAATAAAAAATAAAAATTGCCTTTTCTTAAGCTCTTGAACAGACTTCTCTGTTAATATATTATTTCCATACATACTTATTAAAATGAATTATTTCTAAAAGTGAAATAGGAAAGGTCATGATCCCTGTAATGTCAGTGATACTTGTTTGAAGTGTATTGGGGGTTGATTAACTTTGTGGAATGGCTCGCAAAAAGGAAAGTTAAGTAAGTGCATCAGCTTTTGAAAGCTGAGAACGTAAAACAGAACTATGAAGAACAAGACGGTATCTGTTTTTTTTCCCAGTGTCTGGAAAAAGTAAGGGGAGGGAACTAGACAGAACTTGGATGGAACTCTATTGTAATATCTGAGTAGACTGATAAAAACTAATGGTCATTTAATAATGTTTCCTTTGGGGGGCGGGGGGGGAAGATCCTGTTGTGTTCTTCATTAGTTCCCGTATAAAACATTACTGTTTCAATCTGATACTGATATCAGACTTTTTTGTTAGTCATCAACAAACATTACAAT